ATGGCGTAGCGGATAGCACGATGGATTCTGCATGGCACCACAATACGGGACTCGTTCGGGTCCGGATCCTCATTGCGGCAACAGTTTTGCATCTGTATCAACGCAACGAGACGTGAACATTTCCGGAAACAAGGTTCTCCACACAACTGTGCTGGTTTGTAAGGTGTCATCCAGGAAAGGCCAACAGGACAGCCTGGCCATTTGCAGTGAGTGCATATCATTGTACCACATGATACTTACATTTTGACTTTAATCGAATCTATTTTGAGGCCTAATTAGTGACCACCTCATAAACTATGCATGCTCGAAGTTACAAGCAGAACGGAGCCCATTAACATTGTTAAAACCGCCCATTCCTGTCAAATTCTTTTCACTCAGTTTTTGACCTACCCAGAAACGCATAGCAAAAATGAAACCCATTTTTGTGACCCTTGTATGGACCCCTACAACAAGCAACAAACCATTTCCAAAAAGCGCGCCATGACCTGAAACACCTCCCTTGTTAGCTCCTACCATCGCCCCTTCCTCGTACGTATTGTCAGTATGCTACACCAGCGCCAGAGTGCTGGACGTGCTTGGGACGTACGTAGGTACTGCGACCCCCCCCCCCCGCTCGACAGCAAAATTTTGTAATTGTGATGCTGGTCGTCCCCATTTTTGCAATTTTTGCAAGGCAGGTTTGTGCCTCGGCAGGGATCGAACTCGTGGCTCAGGGTGTGAACATGAGTCTACACTCTTAACCACTCGGCTATCCCTGCCTAGCTAAAACTTCATCCTTATCCTTCATTTATTTTGTGGAACAATTAAAACCACGCTCCTGTTGAAGAGTGGACAGATGGCAGTTGTCTCAAATTGAAATATCAAACAGTAGCAGCAAAGAACTGCGCAGTCACGCCTGCAGCTTCTCAGGGATGTGGAGTATACCTAGCAATCATACTTAAGACATTTTTTGCAGGTTCTAAAATGAAAACCGTCTTCAAATCGATAGCCGTGACCGTGGTCATTGTTATATGCAGCTGGTTGTTGACATTCATTATGAACTCTGTGGTACTATTGGCCACGAACGATCCCTACATAATCGTTGTTGTCAATATATATGCCGGTGTTCCAGTGAATCTCGGACTTGCATCGAATGTGTTCGTCTACTACGCTATCAAGTGAGTGAGGGTTGAAGGGTGCGTAACAGTGGAGGCGAAGCGCATGCAAACTCGTATTGCACGGCGCCGTCTTTAATGGGGATGTGTATCGTTACGAACGTGTCGCGACATCGCACGCTCCTCTAGCTAGTTGACCTGGAAGACACAGAACTAGTGAGGGTAGACACGCCGCCTCTGCGCTGCCACGTTAACTGAATTAGGTCCTAGTGCGAATGCTGTGCACATCACCCTGCTTGCGACAACTCTTTCGCCGCCCTCGCAACGAATTGTCTCTTCCTTAGGGGTGCATGTTGTGCCAAGGATAGTAATGAATTTCACCCAGTACACATGTGTACCATGCAGTGGGGGGGGGCAAAAAAAGACACCTTGTCGGGTCGCATATCAGCAATTTACGCAGCCCAGACAGAAGACGTGGATACGAGTACCAGGGCGGAAGATACCCAAGATGTTCCTCGATAAGCAGGAGCTGGCTCGCCCATCACCTTCATGTACACCAAAATATGAAGTCATCTCCAGTCGCAGCCTGACTGGAGAAGACCTTTGGAATTCATGTCACCTCCAAACAGCTGCGAAACTTCTAGTATGGAGTCACCCATGACAGCTACCTGGAGACCAGTACTCTCGATCTGGAAGACCTCCAACATCGAGCAGCTCCGACAACGTCGCTACGGTCCAGGATATCATCTTCACCGCAGTCGCCAAGGCGCGGTTGATGGACCGGAAATTCCTGATGGGGAAAAAATGGGGAGACCGATAATTTTTTTCTCTTCGTTTCTCTCACTTCGGTGAACTCCGAACTGAAAGTGAACAAGAATACTGGCGTTACATAATCGAGCCAATCGGCCAGAAGAATTATCCTGCCTCCATGTAGTGCGTCCCGTACCGTTCAGCACATGGAATCGAAGGCGTTGGAAAAACTTTCGCCTACTTGGAATGGAAGGGCGTTGAGTACCTGAAGAAGACGGAATATCCAAGTGTGTCACCTGACCTGAACCCCTCGATTACCGGGTTCCGGGAGGAGCTCAACAGGGTGGTCTACAGTGGCGGAGAAATCAACGACCTCGCTGAACTCAGGCACCGAATCAACGGTCGCATGGCAGAATCTCTCGATGGCGTTCTTCCAGAAGGCTGTGGCGAAGTATCGTAGTGTACAATGTGTTGTTGAATGTGATGGTGAAAATGTCCAATCAGAATTCAATAAAGTGTAATTTATATCGCCTTGGAAGTTGAGGAGGAAAAGTGTCTGTTTTTTGCCTTGCCCCCCCCCCTGTACAGTGCGATCGTAGTGAGACCGCTGTCTTTACTAACTTGTCGATCCCGGATGAATGGACGGCTTGCTCCAGTCGAGTGTCTATACGTGGTACGAACATTGCGCATTGTAAAAGGCGCTCTTGTTGCTTCAATGTCGCACTTCTGTTAGCTCTGTCACATTATGCAATGGCCTAGGGTTTAGTAGAAAAATCGGCACTTCTGACCAGTTCAAAGGGATAAGGCACGATAGTTCTGATACTCGGTCTGAAGTGTTATCAGGGGAGCTTATTGAGAGAAAATGACGGAAAAGGCAAAGTGGAACGTTCAAAAACATG